GGTGATGGTCAGTTCGAGTAGCATAGCGGCGACCTATGAAAAAATCTAGTATTTGATTCATAACGGCCGCTGCCAAGCTTCGTTAAGTGTCCTATTAACAGATATTGTAGAGCTTTCCAAGACACATGGAATGATAGTCGAAAACCTACAGAAAAAATTCGTCCCGATTGAAAAAAATGCGAAACAAGGGCCGTTTTTTCTCATTGTCCTGCCCCCTGTGGGTATAGGAAAATTCGAGTGACCCCTCATTTTGAAGATCTTTTCATGACGAATCTAATGGTGATGTTAAAATTCGATTTCAATCTTTCTTGACCCCATTTAGTGACCGCAATGAAAAGTGAGAACGGAAACACCTATGGAAAAACTCGGAAAATCGACCAAATCTACGGTTGGATAGCAGAAGCTCTGACGTCGTGAGCTTTCTAACGGTACCAACCGTTTGTGTTTACGTATTACTTTTTCACGTAATGATTTTTTTTTATTTTACTTATTACGTGAAAAGTAATAAGGCAATAGGATTTATTACCAGTTAAACGTTGAAGAGCTGGATTATTAGCTTTTCAACGTTTTCCCAGCGCATTTACGACTTGATGTGCTTTCATCGAGGATATAGTATTTCTTAAGAACGGTAATTTTCAAAAATTACACTTTTCAGAAGTCTTAAGGAGTAGAAGTGTTACTTTACGCTTCTTTACCAATTATAAGTAATAAAACTTATTAGTTATTGTCAGGAAGTAAGTAATAAATCTTATTGCCTTATTACTTTTCACGTAAAAAGTAAAATAAAAAAAATTATTACGTGAAAAAGTAATACGTATTAAAATAACAAGATTTATTATCTTTTACCCATAATAAGTAACAAACACTTATTACCTTTACCGAATAATGTAATAGTTAGTAAAAGTAAAGTAGCACCCCCAGTAGGGATTGCAAGAAGTGTAATTTTGAGAAATAACACGGCTTTTTGTTCGTTCGTCCTCCTGTTCGTAAGAGGAGAGTCACTGGTGGTTAGAAATCATGATTTTTTAATATGAAGTTAGCTCTTGATTTATTCAAAATTTTAAATGAATAGTATTGCAAAAATACTAAAACTGACTAGCAACTTTCAGATAAACTTTCTTGAATCTCATTCGATAATGATTGTTGTTCATTGATTTTCTGTTTTCCATTAACAACTAATATCAAACTTTTATGGTATCGACAACTGATGGTTAAATTCCACCGCTGAGTCCAGAAATCAGTTTGAAATTTGTCTACAATATCCCGTGTATCAGATATTCTAGTCAAAATAGTGATATCCAAGGAAAATAATGTTAATAATGGCAACGACGATGTCAAAAGAGTTTGCCATAATTGGCTGTCTGTGTAATTGAAATCGTCTAATTGTCCTTTGATTGTTAATTTCTTTAATTTTGGTAAGTATTTCAATAATAGTTCGACGTTATTAAATGGTACAAAGTATAAGAAAACATTTAGGTTATTTATCATCAAATGAGTTTCACCTAATGTACGATAATCATAATTACACAAATACCGAATATTCAGTTTTCGTAATTTTGTCGTGTGAATAAGTAAGAAGAACAATTCGGACATTGAGCACCATCCGATTGTTAAACATTCAATATTTGACATTGTTACATTTTTAAATACACAATTATTGCGAAAATTCAATGAACAGTTTCTTAAATTCACCGACTTTTCACACAAAACCATTGCACATATATCACTAATGACTGTTTCATCCTCAATTTTGTTTGTGTGAATGAACAATACTGATAATTGCTGTTGGTATTTTAATAAAATATGCTCTAAATCACTTTTACTATCGATATCAAGTAGTGTCAGCTTCCGTAATGAAACAAATTGATTAAAATTATCAGATATTGAACTGAGTGTACGAACACGAGAACTATGAGTTATTACAATCGATGTTATCCGATCATAGATTTGAGGTATAATATTGATGCATATCAAATTGAACGTTGAATCATTTATCCCTGACGACATATTCATTGACATATAGAAATGGTTGTCGTTAATAATTGAGTTAAAACGATAATTTAAGTTAAAAAAAGAATTAAAAATGTTATAACCATCTAAATATTCAAAAATGTCCATTACTGTTTCATTAGCGAGATCTTCAAACTTGCTAGTGCTCATTTTCGTAATGCTGTCACTCACAGTTAGTATTTGTCTAGAAAATAGATCAAAATACAAAGACTGTCAATTAAGATGATAGAAAACATTGTAGTTTCAATAAAAAAATTTACTTACTATTATAGCGATTTACGGAGCAGAATACAGACAGATGGTAGGCTGTGTGACTGATCACTACGTTTATATGTGCGGGAAAGAAGTGTTTGCGACAGGATGTGCTTTTCTTCTTACAAACTGATAGACTGCGTTGGTTTTTCTTCTATTGTCTAATGATTTTAAAAATCAGGTAAAAGCTCAGCTGATTTTAGATTTTTGGCTAACAACAAAACGCAGCTCCACCATATGTACAGTATATAAGTTCAGCGCACGGAGTAAATAAACATGTACATTATACATGTATTATATCTTGCAAATAGCAGATATTTGATTACATAAACTTATGGTGGCGTAAGAAAATACTATAACTGTGTAAGCGAACAGAGAAGATATTCGTTCGCTCTATCGATCATACGATACCATAACATATGGTATTTTCCTTCTTTTCTTTTCTTTTCGTCAATCGTGTTCTTTCCCCTTACTTGTCATTTTTCTCTCTCTCTTTATATTGTTTGATCTATGTTACTCGAACTGTGTTTTTCCCAGGGGAAAAAGAATATAGCATCATCTTTCATTCCTTTTATATTTTATTGTAAGGCGCCGCTAATTCAAAAATCAAGTAGAAAAGCTTTTGAATTCTCAAACACATATTCTGATTCATCAGACGCTGCTGATCACGAATCTGACCTTATTTTTTCGATTTGACCGAGTTTTCATGCAGAAAACCTTGAAATACGGTGAAGGCGTCAAAAACCTCGAAAAAACGATTTTTCAGAAAAATCCCGATTATCTCCTGATCTTTTCATTTTTCGATCTCACCGATGCGATTTTCGGATTCAGCATCACGAAGCACATCTAGGCACTTGTCATTCGATGACTTTTCTTCAAGAC